ATTGGGTTGATTCGATACCGGCTATGAATACTTTTGCAATAGCATATCTCACCCAAGAATTATGACAGAGATATAGTTTTGATTCAAGGTAAGAGCAACAAGGCTCATATTTAGTTATCATATTATTATACCTTGACTCAAAGTTCTCTTTGCTACGGCTGTTTCTCATATAATAAAATCATTAATAAAAATTTTAATCATATCTTCATGAAGCTTCAACTTTGCTTTCTTCTTTACATTTTCTCCATTATGGTAAATGCATAATAAGTGTTGTGTTTGTGAGTACACAATATGAACAGCAGCACTCATTGCGAGATCTCTGTCTGTAAACAATACCACAGGTGCAAGATTATTAGTCATTTCCAAAGTGCAATACAAAATCCACTCATAATCTGCTTGCATTTCATATTTGGTTAAAGCTTGTGCAAGGACTCTTGATTTGAAATTACTATCTATTCTAACAAAAAGGCTAAGAGCTATTTTGTATCAGTTCATTTTTTCCATATTATCATGAATTATGATATCATGAAATTTGGGCCATAGTTCATTGTATTCACTATTCATCCAGAAAATACCTGTTAATTCATTGGAACTACCTTCTATACGTGGAACAACCACAAAGTCACAATCTTGTTCTTTCTGATTCAAAAGATATAGTAGCATTGTAGCTATATCAGATTCATTGTGAACTTTTACTCCCCTGAACTTACTAATAGCATTATACAAATTTTTTTCTTGATATATTAATCAAGGAATTCTTTTACTAAAAGATTATATTGTTGGCTAGCATTTAACCAACTAACAGTCATATAGTTCTTGATTTTGTCTAAAATTAACTGCAAAAAACACAAATGTTTTGGTACTAAATCTATAGCCCTTAAATCACATACATGATTGTGTTTATTCTCTATCTTAGTAATAGTTATCAAATTTGTATATTTTTCTAAATAGAATTGAGCCAACCATTTGCAATTAGTCTTACTTGAAACACTATCATAGTGTACACTAATGTCCTCTACTTTTTTTTCTTTATTCACACCAGATTTCTAACAAACATAGTCATGGCATCGAATAATAGATTTATCCACTACGTCAAGATTCTTATGAAACTTAATAGCCACAAAACTGAGTTTTTTTGAAAAAGTATCAACTACATATTGTACAGCATCCCAATCATTAAAGGAGTTTCCCACTTGTAATGTTAGTTTAGTTGAAATATCATCAAATCTAAAATCAGCAAAGCTAGGTGAAAATTTCTTAATATCAGACCTGGAACTCACAATACCAGATGATATATCTTGAGACTCAGAACTCACAGCACTAGGCGAAACATCTTGAGGCCTGAAACTCATAGCACCAAGTGAAATATCTTTGAGCCCGGAACTCATAGCACCAAGCAAAACAACATTAAATCCAGAACTCATAGTACCAAACAAAACATCTTGAAACCCTGAACTTATAGTACTAGGTGAAACATCATTAAACCCAGAACTCGTAAAATCAGATGAAATATCTTGAAACACAGAACTTATAGCACCTGGTGAAACATCAAATCCAGAACTCACGACACCAGGTGAAATATCTTGAGACCCAGAATTTATATTACCAGGCGAAACATCTTGTGATCCAGAACTTGTAGTACCAAGTGAAACTTTTTGAAACCCAGAACTCATAGCACTAGGCAGAATATCTTTAAACCTTGCATTTACTATATCAGGCAAAAAATCTTTAGATCAGGTGAAATATTTTTAGAACAAAGACTTATAGTACCAGATAACATACTATCAGACTCAGAACCCAAAGAACTCGGTAACCTCACACTTTCAAAAACAGGCACCTTCAAATTTGCAAGCACAGACAACCCCAAACTCATATTGTCAGGCAACTCTAAACACACAGAACCAGAAAACTCTAAATCCACAAGACTAGACAACCCATAACCGACAGAACCAGAATCAGGCTTTCCGGAATTCGTAAAACCAGATATAAGTTTGTTGAATTCAGAATTCGCAAGACCAGAGTAAGTTTCTTCAAACCTACTGCTAATAATTTCTTTTTTCTTTTCTATTTGTTAACAACTTGATATTACCAACGTTAC